GGAACAGTATATAGATTCTTCATAATAGCAAACAACTTATTGTAATCTTTCTATGCAAGCAACGATTTGTTGGATTGAGACAAAGGACAAAATCATTATAATCATAATTAAGAGTTCTGTCAGTACATGGATATTTTTATATGCAGCTCTGAATTCTCTATTTTTTTATTCATGCATGGAGAATTGTAGCAAACAAAGTGTAGGTTTTGCTTAGGAATTTCACTACCTAGAAATGAAATGATTAGAAGAAAAAATCTGCTTCAAAATAATTAGAGAAAGGCTGCACCATATGTTGACTTTTTTGCCCCACTTCTCCCTTTTTTTTATTTGGATTAGTGATTGAATAAGACAACTCCAAAAATAAGGTTTTTTTTTTTTTTACATTTTAAAACAAAGCAAAATGTCCTGTGACAAGACTTTTCACGTGGGTTTAAAACAGAGCAAGTGTAGGAGAGGTTATAGTTTACGCATGAGGAAATTACAGAAGTGAATAACATATCCTGCAGTCGAGCAGCATGCGACGGACGTGAAGAAGGTTTCGCAGGCAGGAGTTGGTTTGAGGGAGACGGGTTGCGGGTTTACGCCAAATTGCGGCTACTTACGAGAGTGCTAATCGGGAATAGAGAGGCCGAGTCAGCGTTTGCAGTTGGAAGGAGGTGAAGGCTACACAACAGAAGGCGTTGGCGTGAAGAATTGTGAATTGAGACTCGACTGGGTTGGGACGATCGGAGCGGTGGACTGTGCGTAAGCAATCGTGTGGGTTGATTCCGGTGTGGGTGAGGAAACCGAAGACAGTGAAGGAGGGCGAAGACAAGCAGAACCACTATATCTGGCTCAGACGTGAGGCAAAGAATAGAAAAGTGAGAATAGTTGAAAGAGCGTAAGTTCTCTGCTTTTTTTCTTCTCCAGTCTTTTATTAATTTCTTTGGCTAATGGGAGTTACGAGCATGAAGGGTTGCTTTGTTCGAGCATGCAACTGTGTAATGGGCTTGAATTGAAATGTTGCGTCTATTCGATAGTTTCATTTCTTTTCTCTTTTTTTTTTATCCAACATGATGATAAAGCAAACGCATATTATAGAAATTAGAAAGACATCTGCTAAAAGAAAGTTAGCATGCATTTTCTGTAAAATAATAATAATAATAATAATAATGCTTGAGCTTCTTTCACCATGCTTTCGATCTCAAGTTTGTTGATTTGCTGCCTAAATTTGAAGTCTTTCTTGATAGAGGTCTTTCAAGTGCTTTTGATTATTTTATATTATCAGTAAACTCGACAACCTTGCCAACATTACATGAGCAATACTTAATCTTTGTTAAAGATTTTGCAACCTGGAAGATATCCACTTGAAAAAACATCTTTGCCACTTGTATTCAACTAAGTCAAACCTGATGATTTCTTAAGTATGGTGTTTCTCTACATCTTGTTTTATTCTTCCTTGCTGAAGTTTTGTTGGGCTTTGGAAAAAATAACTTGGATTTAGGTAAATGAAGCCAATGAATAGGCTTATTTAATCTATGATAGGGATTAGCAATTAATTCCTTTTGAAATGTACAGAAGAGGAAAAGTTGCTGAAGGCCGTTGTCATCTTCTCTGTTCTTTAACTTGCAGAGTTTTATGTTTCATTGAACACAAGATCAGTAGGCTATATTTATTTCATCAAGAAATTAAAAGAGGCAATTAGTGAATAATCTTTTTGCAAGTTTCCCAAGAGCCCAGAAGTTAAATGAGGCTATTTGCTTTCCAAAAATAGCTATAAATGAATTCAGCGGCTCTAAATCTACTATAGGCTAATTAGGCTTATTTGACGAATTATCATTTATTCATTTTTTTTATTATCAGTCAACAAATGTGTGTAGTTAAAGCCAATAATGGGTGACTAGAAAAAAAAAGAAGCTGGATAAAGAGATTCAGCAAAGGAAGAAAGCCAATTAAAGTTTCACTCAATGGCAAATCCAATCCAATAAACATTAATTGCTAATTCAACCGTAAAAATGCAAAGAGAGCTATTTTGAGAAGGAAAAAGGCCACCTGTCGATGAGATGTGCAAGTAGAAACGAAGTGACAACCACAATTGCCGTGAAGGAATTCGCCATACCGCTATGGGCATTGCAAGTGTGAAATGATTGTAACATATTAATTGGATGTGGAAGGAGAATGATGTTTGGCAGAGCTTTACATGGTAAGATTTACTTTGCACAATTCATGAATTAGACAGACATTTTAGCACTTTGGAGCAAGAGAATCATCAAAAAATATGTGTAACCTAGGTCTCAGTTATGTTTGACCTTCCGCTAGTATTTAATGCTTCACACGTACCTTTTCTCTTTTGCCAACAAAAAACAAATATTTTAGATGACATAACAATAAGCCTAAGAAAATGTATTTACAACAATATTTTGAATATAATATTTGGAGATTTATGGTAAATGTTGAAGTGTTTGATTAAAAAATATATTCAAAGAAACCATAATGATAAAGAAGACAAATAAATGGAAAGAGGTAAGTATATAGAAACCATATAATTTAGGACTAAAGAGATATTCAAGATTGTGGTGAATACAACGAAATCAAACAAATGAATCATTCAATAAAGTAATGGATGGGGTAATGAACTATAGTCTTAGAAAAATCACATCCATATTAGAAAATCAATTTAATTATATACCTAGAAGATTCACTATGGAATGTGCTAAGGAGATAAATAGAATATTTTGAACAATAAAAAATATGAATCTTCATATGATTTTTATCAATGTTGAGCAAATATATGATCGAGCTTCATGAGAATTAATCTGATGTGCATAAAAATTAGTTTTTTCATAGTGACACAGAATTTAAACTATATATATATATATATATATATATATATAAGTATTGAATAGCATTAGAAGTTGTTATAAAGCGGCCAAAGAATTCTCAATTTATGAAAGAATGCATCAAGGATAGGCAATAATTTAATTTCATTTTTATAGTTATGTAGTTAGTAATATAAGATATTTAAAATGAGATATTTTGATGCATGTTATAACATATAACATGGTTCTAATTGTTAAAACCATTGCCAAATAAATAAAAATTTAAGATTGTGGACATAAAGTTTAAAAGATAAGAAGCTTACGATTGGTAACACAAAGAATAACATATGATAGAAAATTTTAGAAGGTGCCAAATTCAAGTTATGAGTAACTATTAAAGATCAAGCTTAAAATTAAAGATATGCATTTAAGTATTGAAAAGCATTAAAAGTTGTTATAAAGTGACTAAAGAGTTCTCAATAAATGAAGGATTGCATTAAGGGTCAGCAATAAGTCTATATCATTTTGTAGTTATGAAGACACTGATAAAAGATATTTAAAATGAGAAGATTTGATACATGCTATAACGTGGTTCTAATTAATGAGACATTTGTCAAAATAAGTGAAAAATTAGAATATTGGGAAAAATGTTTAAAAGATGAGAAGCTTAGGATTAGTAAATAAAAGAATAATATATAGTATGCAATTTTAGTGGATGTAAAATTCAAAGTTATAAGTCCATATTACTAACAGATAAAGTGAATATTATATGTGATAGGATTAGGTATCTTGGGTACTAAACAAGGGTGCATAGATAGAAATATAAATTTTAAAGTATTGATTGTGCGGTTAAAAAAGAAAAGTGTGTCTGAGGTACCAAAAGAAAAAAAAAAGAGAAAAGTGTGTCAGAGGTACCAAAAAAAAAAGAATACTGTAAATTTTATAAAATCATGATTAGACTAACTATATTATATGAATCCAAGTATTTGTTGACAATATGTCAGGGATATCCAAGTAAAGTGTAAGAGAAACAATAATATTAAGATGGATATGTTAAGAAAATATGAAAGACAAAATAATAAATTATCAATGAAAGAGGTTATGAAAGCATCACCTATTGAAGATAAGGTACTGAAAAATAGATGAAAAGTAGACTAAGGGGATGTATGCATGAATAAAAAGAAAAAGAACCAATAAAAAAGGTGTATAAAATTATTGCAACAAAGCTAAAAAAAAGTAACATATATAGAAGTTAAGCACAAAAACTTAAACAAAATAGATTTTGCATATCAATTTATACTTAACATTAATGAATGAAGAATGAGGATTCATAAGTCTAAACATTTTTTTTTAACTATTTTGATGTTACAATGCAACATATGTAATCACCCAGGCTTAATCAGTCATGCAATTAACAAACATACCCAAGAACTTAAGCAAGCAACGAATTTGAAATAAACATTTCAACAAGAAACTAAAGACAAAAAAAAATTATAGTGGCAAATCAAGTAGAATAGAAACTATTGAAAATGATAGTTTGCTTAAACAAGATTTATTACCTTAATGCAACATCACATGTCTCCACTAATTTATACATATCACTATTTATTTATATAAACAAAAATCATAAATTTCAACCAAATAAGAGCTAACCAAGTTTTTTTGTTTTCTGGATGAAGCGAAGAATATCAAATATTACCTCCAATGACATTATTAACATACTTCAAGGGCTGAGACTAGATATTAATAATCATGAAAGTACACTTGTACAGATGATGCACTAGACACAAATAAAATATCAATATATTGAAGCATATTTTGGCTTCAAAATGTCCATAATCAGAGACAGTGGTTATGTAATATAACAATAAAAGTCCAGAGAAATGTTCCCCCTACCGTGCATCACATATGTGATCAAAACTAATTCCCTCCAAGAGCAAATAGTTGATTAGAAAAGTAGGTATAAAAACAAGGAATTTTCAGAAAAAAAAAAGCAATTGAAAAATAAAAACTCGTGTACAACATCCAGTTCCATCAAAAACATGAATCAAACTTGGTGGAACTCTGGGGTAAGCTAAGATATGGCTGCAAGAAGTAGGTTAAACTAACATCTTCAACTCAAAAGATGAAAAAAAAAAAAAGCCTTTGCCGCATTATCAGAATGAATAAAGCAGTCTAACACCTAAAACGTCTTAGACTTACCCGAGAGTCGGTTTCTCCTTCGAGCTGCAATATGACACAGAAAGAAACGGAATCAATATATCGTTCAAAACTAATCCAATAGAGCTAAGCTCTTAAGGGAGCTATATCAAAGACTAAATCTATCACACACACACACACAAATTCCTGCAGTCTCCATAGGAAGGATGCAACTCGTGCAATACATAACAGAAACAAAACATCAACTTTGATATATTTCAGCCACCATATTCCAATCAAAGAAAAAAGTAACAAGGAATCATATCTAGTCAATAAAACGAGAGAAAACAAAGCCAGGAGACACAACAAGCTTCCCAAACAGGAAAAGCGCACAAAATACGAAATTTACAACAAAATCCGAAGAATCATCCTTAGATAAATAGATCTCGCAAGAAGCCCTAGGGGGATACTGCTCTAAAGAAGCCTTCCATAGATCGGCAGATCAGGGAAAAAACGTAGCATGGATCGCAAGGATCAAATCTTTGAGCAAGTGTAAACGGGCTCTACTTACCTCATAAACCAAGACCTAGATTGCTCGAGGCGAGATCACGACAAGCTCAAGGCTAGATGCTCGGGGCAAGTGCCGGAAGGGGAATAGAAAGAGAGAGAGGTCTTTACTAGTAGCTTTATTAAAGGTTGCCTTGCTTCCGGATTAGGGATTGGGGATTTCCGGAAATTCCGATGATGCCCACCTCAATAAATAGTTGGGCGGTCACCCATGGCTTTCGCGAAAAGCGGCACGGGCGTATCACGTGCTGGCACGTAAACCCCGGACGGTCTTGGTCCGGTCCCCGCTCGGCCTAAACGAAAAAGCCGGTAACGATGCGGAAGCTGTTCTCAAATGCAAAAAGAAATTATTTTGTAGGCAGTCCGAACATAGAATTGGGTTCGGATACTGCGTATTTACTGTTTATTTTACTACGTATTTTTTAATACATTATATTTTCTACGTACTTTTTGCATATTAATTGTGTATTTAGTGAGTATTATTTATGTGTTGCTTTTTAACACGAAAAAATTTGATATCAAAAAATACGCAACACAATAAGCAGTAAATACGCAGCATCCGAACGCGTTCGGATTACGTACAGAATAATTTCTCCCTCAAATGGGCACATGGTGAAAATATTATATATATATAATAATAATTTTAATTGTTTATGAAATTTCAAAATGTAACTTTTTAAATGCGTTTCAATATATTTTAAAATTTTTTAAATAAAAGAAATGATTGGAAATAATTCTTTAGCCATAGTTTCTATTTTAAAAGTTTACTTAAATGTCATAATTATAAATAATATTAAGTTTTATTATTAATATTAATTAAATTATCATATTATCTAGAATAATATCTGACCTTTCTAACAAACAATCTTTTAGCAGTCAAAAAAATTTAGAGAGAGAGAGAGGTGAGTATGTAAAAGAAAAAACGATAGCATAAAACATGTTTAGAATATTAGCAAATATTCAAAGAATTCATGATGTATCGCTTCATCCTTTTTTTTAAAGGGTAAAAAAGAGTGAAAAGACCATTTTTTCGATCTCTAGACACAAAGGCGAGTATCTCAAGGTTCTACTATAATCTTTGTGCATGAGGGAGAATCCATCGAGGTAATGATAACTAAGGGTTGAGATGGGAGGTGGCTTGTACTCGTGAATCTTTAAGGTGTGCACTTCTTATAGTTAAATTACGGAATAATAGTGATGACTTGGATGAAGGAGAGCGGCCTTGGGAGGTTGATCTCCATTGAGATGAGTGTCCCTCTTGTGTTTGTAAGGATTTATATGAGTTCTTGATGTGCGTATGTGGAATGACTCTTCAATTTAGTTAATTTGGATGTGTCGTATTCTTTACTAGTAAGTGCTTTAGGTGCACAATGTACCACCATAACTATGTTGCAACTCATGAATCAAGATTGAGATTGTGATTTTATGATAGCAAAATATTATTGTCCTGGTGATTTTATTGATTCTCCTGCATATATCGGATATTTATGTTTGTTTTTTGTGCGTACTAACATTTAAGGGAAATCATATAATACTCCAGCTTACTGAAAACTTCAAGACTAGAATAGTAGAATTTCTTGTAATAGAGTCAACATCTCTATTTTTATTTCTTAAGTCTAAGCAAGTGTGATTGTAATTGGGTAATCATGCACACACATAGGGGGAGTGATAATTTCTTTTAAGTATGATCATATTGTATGATATATATTCTTACTATATGATTTGACATAGTTTTTTTCCAAAATGTAGTTAATCAAATCATGGCTTTAATTTTTTAACTATTTGTACTATATGATACCATGTCGTACAAATAAAAGACATAGTATGAAATTAGGTTCATACAAAATCGTACCAAATGAACTCATTTATATTTGAACTATTCATACAGTACGATCTGCATTCGTACAAGTGGATGACAAAGTAAAAAATTATGTTCGTATCAGATCATAACGAATGAATACATTCATTTTTGAACTATTCGTGTAGTATGATGTAAAGTCTTATAAATGATTGACAAAATACAAAATTAAGTTTGTACCAAATCATACCGAATGAAACCATTCATTTTTTAAATATTCATACAGTACGATGTGAATTCATACAAACGACTAATAAAGTACAAAATTAGTTTTGTATCAAACCGTATCGAACGAACACATTCATTTTTAAATTGTTCATATAGTATGATCTTAATTTGTATTGACGACTGACAGTGTACGAAACTGAGTTCGTCCATGTTCATACCGAACGAAGCCCAAATATTTTGAACTATTTATACTGGATGATCCACGATTGTACGATACGATCGTGGGATAGTTCTCTTAGAAAGTTTTTGTTTGTTGAATATTTTTCACATATTTTCTATATAAATAGTCCTAAAAATTGTCTAATTATCATTTGGTTGCGAATCTCTTGAGAGTGGCCCATTATGAGTGTGTTTGGGAGATATTTTGAGGGTGAAGAGTGGGAGATCTAGTGAAGGGGAATTAGGTGGGATTTACATGGTTGCCCAAAGTGAGAATATCTTTGTCTTCTTCAAATTTTTGCTCATCTTTTTTGGAGACTCTTGGGAGAAGATCTTCAATATTGGACTAGGTACTCTGCCTTCACCAGGAGGGTGAAAAAGAATGTGATTGCATGCTGCCATCACTTGAAGAGTGTAAAAAGAGATGGTTCTCTACCACACCAGGTTGCTGAAAGAGAATTTATAAAGACTTCTCCGCTTTACTATGCTGGCAAAAGGAGAGTTCACTTTTGTTTAGTGCAATACCTGGAGAAGGAGTCTTCAAAGAGTGGACAAAGGTCAAGTTTGACCGAACCACTATAAAATTTTGTATTCTTCTTTTATTATTTATTTTTCCCATATTTTATTTTCTGTATTTAAAAATTTTGTGGTTGGAAAATCTTGTAGTAATCATTTTTTAAACAACTGTAGATTTTAGGACCATTGATTTAATTTTCTAGAAAGGTTTTTAAAAAAATCCAAGAATTTCTTTTTAAAAAATCAATTCACCCCCCCCCCCCCCCCCCCCCCCCCCCCCCCCCCCCTCTTGGTTAGTAATGGGACAGTTTAAAAAGGTCAAACGACTAACATTAACTTTTAAATGGTATCGAAGCCAATTTTAAAAGTTAAAGTTTAGATTACTTTTTAAAAAATGATCATAGCTAATCTTGGAAACCAGAATACTGATGAAGGATATTTGGAAATATTCCTTTTGATTTTTGAAAAACTTGCATGTATACATTTCTACAATCAGTTATTTTTCGCATGTGAATTTTAGTACATGAAGGTTATAGCAGACCTAATAGAATTATTGATAGCATTATAATCGAAATGTTATTTACTGTTTGGACTTTAGAAGAAAAAAAATTAGCATAGTTAAATGTAAAATATTTAAATAGTTTTTCTTGTGTTTTAAAATATGAGGATTATATGCATGTTTATAATTGTAAAACTAGAAAAAAAAAATCTAGGATAGACTTTACATAACTTATGAAAGAAACAACCAAGATAAAATAAACTAGGTTGATTATTTTGCTACATGATTATGAGCTATTTTGTATGAAATCAAATGAGTCAATTTCTGATATATATACAAGGTTTACTCAGAATGTTACTTCATTGCATGTACTAGGTAGATAACATACAAATTCTAAAAAAGTTGATAAAATTTTATGTTGTCTACCTTCTGTTTATGATGCAAAGATAACTATCATTTTTTAGTCCAAATATCTAAATGTATATTCTATTAACAATCTGCTTAGATCACTTATTGCTTATGAGCAAGGAGTGAGTTAAAGACAAATCGATGTAGATGATAAAAGAAAATAAAGAAATATAGCATTGAAAGTTAATGATTTAGAAACTGATCAATCAAAATTAGAGAATGAAGAAGATATTACACTTATGACTAAACAATTCAAAAGTTTTCTTAAGAGAAATCAACTGCGATGTCAACATTGGAATAAAGGTAAGTTCAATAATGCATCGAAAGTTTCTAATGAAGTCATTTGTTATGAATGCAAAAAGAAAGGATATATAAAGAGTGAATGTAGGATCTCAAAGCTAATCCTGATAAAGAAAAAGTTGAGGAGAAAACTGACATTAGGAAGTGCAAGAAAATAATGAAAAGTGTTTTCTGCACTGACTCAGCTTCAGATTCTTCATAAATAGAAGCAGAAGAGGAGGTTGCAAATTTATACTTAATGGCAGATAAACTTGATCATTCAAATCAAGATAGAGGAATGTGATTTATCTTATGATAAATTATTTAAATTTTAAGAAAATTCATAATGCATATATGAAACTTAAAAAATTACATACTAATCTTAGTATTGAGTACTTAAACTTATAAAAATATAATGAAAATCTGAGGAATGATCACGTAGACATAAATAGTAATCACATGACTTTGCTAAATGAATTTGATGATTTAAATAAGAAGTATGAACTATTAAAAACATCTTATAATATGCTTAAAAATGATTTTAAAGTTTTTTATGGGTGAATCTGATCAAAGGAAACATGATTTGAAGATTGAAAATTTGATTATGGAAAATGCAAATTCATATATTCAAATAAAATTGAAAGCGTTTAAGGAAAATAAGTTTGCTCCTACACTTGAACAATTTTATAATCTTACTAAAAGTATACAAGTTCAAAACCTAAGAAAAGATATTATAACTCATATATATATTAGTAAAATATTTTTCTGGTGTTAAATGCTTTTGAGGTGAAATATTGGGGCATATTTCACACACTTGCACTATTCATAATAGAACACATTTAATGTGAATACCAAAGATACGTCAATCACAACATATCAAATATGCATCTAGATTATCATTAACAATATGTGAACCTAAATTTATTTGGGTTCTCAAGTCTAATATTTTATTATTTTTTAGAAACACTTATATAAGTCCGCGTGAGAGCATTTGATACCTGGACAATGGATGCTCAAAATATATGACTAGAGATGTAAATCAATTTATGTTACTAGAGGTCAGGACTAGAGACAAAGTTATACTTAGATATAACACCACTAAGAGAGTGGTAAGATCAAGTAAGATTAGTAACATGAAGAATTTAATGATTGAAAATGTTTTATTGGTAGAAGGCTTAAAACATAATTTGATAAGTATTATTCATCTTTGTGAGAAGGGTTT